GTGACTAGATATTTCGTTGGATATCTAGTCATTTTCACTGCAGACGCAGGAGCATATGAGGGGAGGGGGGTTGACACAACGCCAGCCGGCTCCACCAATTGTCTTCGCTTTCCCGGTTCAAAAACTGGTGGAGAATGGGCTGGGCGGCACCAAACCTCACCCCTGACACTCCCTGCTTATGCAGCGAAAACGACTGTGACCGTTTCAGCTGTCACAAGTGAAACTTGAAGTCTCTACTTTTTCATCTATTCTGTTACTGGCTAGAGCTTGACAGTGCTTCACCAAATGTTAGTGTCTGCACTAGGAGCAAGAACATTCAGACTGCACTATTGCACTGTTAATTTACTCCTGGCACTCCTTCCATGACGCTCTTGACAGTAAGCTGAAGTAGTTCGCTGCAACATTCTTTTGGCAAAGGCTCGACCTTGGGTGAGTGGCCGGATGACGCTCCTGTAATCAATCCGTGCGCATCAGAATGTCATTAGGGTCTCATACGCTGAAGACTCCTAACAGGACGATCGTATCCATATTGCTTGATCTCTACGTGATAGCAAGCCAAAATATTGCGCCAACTAGAAACTCGCTAGTATCATTTTTTCAAAAATTCTATCTTCACTGAATTTGAAGTCCTTAAAGACATTGTCGCCCACTCGTCCCGAAGATGGTCCCTTACATGTGCGAGGTGAATGGGTTCGCAGCTGCATGAGCGCCACTTTCCTCGATTGAAGGCAGTCTTAAAGGCAGTTGGCGCGATAAATCCCCCAAGACGAGTAGGATTAATACGCCTGGCAGGACGGAATTCTGCGACCCTGAGCAGGCGCTGCATAATGCCTTTTTTCCAAGGGAGGTGCCCTCATAAGAGCCCTATCAGGCCACAACGTTCCGACCCAAACGCCCGCCACGCCCTTCCGCACAATGGACGACCGTTCCTGACGCTCGTATTCATTCATTTGCTGAGCAAATTATGAAGCGAAGGGATTGGTATGAAGCGGCCGTGATGCTGCATGCATATATGGGTACGCAGCCGTACCTTCGGTAGCGGTTATTGGCAAGATGCCTACGGGAAACTCGTCCAAAATTGATTTTGAACACATTGAGAACGGAGGCTCTTTCTTCGCAGGATTTTGACCGTTTCACTCCGTTCTTTCGCCATTTCCCCACTATATAGCGCCCTACTAGCATTTTAGGCCGAGTACCGAATTATCGTGCCAACTGCCTTCGAAGATGCACGGAAACTATACTCGAGGTTAGAGCTGCCGCCCGCGCTATCCTCACGGTGCAGCACGCGCCACCATCCCAAGATCCCCAGCGAAACACGCACTCAGTCGTAGAGGACGGAGAGGGAGGGCGCAGACAAGTAGCGCGTTTGGCTAGGCTTGTGGGTGGCCGTGCGGTTGCTGGCGTAGTATAGAGAGGTCACAAGGGTAAACCTACCGTCCACTCCTGTTCCAGGGCATTTTGAACGAGGAAAGTGACACACTACTGCAGCTGCGTACCCATTCTCCCCACATACGGCAAGGACCAGGATTCCAGATGCGACGCGGAGGTCGCATCGGATATATTAGTGACAGCCTATTCATGACTACCCACATCAAACTGAGGGTTCATGGAATGATTCCGCACTCATCCAGAG